TTTTTGCGGTACGCGGGCCTCTCACTGTTGTGGCCTCTCCCGTTGCGGAGCACAGGCTCCGGATGCGCAGGCCCAGCGGCCATGGCTCACAGGCCCAGCCGCTCCGCGGCATGTGGCATCTTCCTGGACCAGGGCACGAATCCGCGTCCCCTGCATCGGCAGGCAGACTCTCAACCACTGCGCCATCAGGGAAGCCCCATTGTGAATATCTTTAAATCCCAAGATGTTTTTTACTGTCCCATCTCCCCCAGTAATACACGTAACGCATACAGGAAACTTGGCCGTGGAAAAAGAAAGACAGACACTGATTGTTATTCATAAAGCAAACACAGCTGTCATTCCAGGAGACTTCAAGCCCTTGTAAGATGAGCTAAGACAGAAAAAATTCTAGGCCCACTCTGCAGTGATATTTTTATCATAAACATGTTTATAGTATTCTAAATTTCACACTTCCACATTTCTGCACTTACAAGGTCTTCATTGTAATGAATGCCATTTCTGTATTTCTCTTCGGGAAGGAAAATTACCATTTCTACATGGACTTGAATTGCAAAATTGTCCATAGAGACTATGGAATTCTGTCACTGCTATGATGACTAAAAGGATTTCTTTGTAGTTCATGTTTATTCAAATAGCAAATTATGCTTAAAAACGTAACAGGCTCCAAGTCCTCTTCCATGAACTTGAGTCTTGTTCCGATATACTTTAGAGTTAGAAAAAGTAGACCTTTCTTTCTCAAAAAGAATAAGTACAAAATTCATTCATAAGCCAGAAAGATAGTGTTCTTTTATGAGAATGAGAGGCTGCACCAGTTCTAACCATCTATTAGTCCTGGTTTTAAATATTTTTATTACTGCTATGGAATTATTAACAATAAGTACATCGAATAAGCTAGGACATTAAGTGATTATATATATTACATATTTGTAATTGTGTTACTTTTTAATTCATTATGATGCCAGCCTTCTTAATCATTGACAAAAATTTTAACTCTGGGCTCTGAAGTTAGAAATTCAAACATTCCTTTTGTAAATTGTACAAATGAGAATGAACCGTTTTCATGGCTCTTTCTCCCAGTTTCCAGCAATGCTGGATGGATATAAAGTTATTTGCAGTAAGATTGGTTTGAAAAATTTTCAGGTTGGCTGTCTGAAACTCACGGTGCATTTTGTTAGAATCTGCAGGCCCTCGGTAGAAATTTCAAAGATTTCTTTGTCCCAACCGGTAGATAACAATACTGACAAAAAAAAAATCTAAGCTGTGGATCCTGAGAGGGTCTTCTGAGAGAGGAAGAGTGGAGGTTATGGCGCAAGACCTTCCTTTCATGGTACAGAACTGGAAAAATGGGAGAAATGCAGATGTACAGTGCCACAAAGACGCATATGAGAAAGGTGCTCAATCCTTGATAGGTGGTGGTGGTACTTTCGTGTTGCTTTTAATTTACAAGTTTTAAATTAATAGATTTATTAGGATCTATTTATGCTCTACTGAGATATAATTCATATACCATTTAAAATCCACCCATCTGAAGCGTATAATTCAATGCTTTTTGGTATGTTATGTTAATTTTTTTAATTATGGTAAGATATATGTAACGTAAAATTTGCCATTTTAACCATTTTTAAGCATGCAACTCAGTGACATTATAATTACACTCACAGTGCTTTGCAGCCATCACTATTCCCGCAACTTTATCATCACCCCAAACAAATTCTGTAATCATTAAGCAGTAACTCCCCTTTTCTCCTCCTCCTAGCCTCTGGTAACCTCTAAACTACTTTCCGTCTCTATAAATGTGCCTGATCTAGGTACTTCATATAAGTGGAGTCGTACAATATTTGTCGTTTTGTGTCTGGCTTATTTTACTTGATATACTGTTTCAGGTCCATACATGTTGTGGCGTCTATCAGAACTTAATTTTTATGGCGGAATAATATGCCATCGTATGTATATACTACCTTTTGTTTATCCATTCCTGTTGATGGATCCTTGGTTTGTTTCCACCTTTTGGCTATTATGAATAATGCAGCAATGAAAATTGGTGTACAGGTATCTGTCAGAGTCCCTGCTTTCAATTCTTTTGGGTATAAACCTAGGAGTGGAATTGCTGGCTCATGTGGTAAGTCTGTGTTTAGAGTTTGGGGGAACCATCAAACTGTCTTCCATTTTACGTTCTCAGCAACAATGCACAAGGGTTCAGATTCCTCCACATGCTTGCTGACACTTGTTATTTTCCACTTGATTTGATTATAGCCATTCTAGTAGATGTGAAGTGGTATCTTACTGCGATTTTGATTTGCATTCCCTAACGATGTTGAGCATCTTTTCATGTGCTTATTGGCCATTTATATATCTTCCTGAGAGAAATGTTTATTCAAGTCCTTTGCCCATCTTTTTATCAGGTTGTCTTTTTGTTGTTGAATCCTAGGAGTTCTTGGTATATTCTGGATTTTTACCCCCTTAGCAGATATGTGATTTGCAAATATTTTCTCCCATTCTGTAGGTTGTCTTTTTTTTTTGTCATTCTTTTTTTTTTATTTCTTATTGAAGTATAGTTGAATTACAATGTTGTGTTAATTACTGCTGTACAGCAGAGTGTGTAGGTTGTCTTTTTACTTCCTTGATGTCCCTTGATATACGAAAGTTCTTAATTTTGATGAAGTCCAATTGATCTGTTTTCTCTTTTGTTGCCTGTGACTTTGGTGTCATATCTAAGAATCTGTTGCAAAATTATTAAATAAGTTCTTCATATATCCTGGTAAATGTACCATAATCCTTCTAAGACAGTGCTTGGCACATAAGAGACCCTGGATAAATGTAAGAAAATGTAAACCAACTTTTTAAATCATCACACGTAATGAATTGAATTCTCATAAATGTGGTTTGGTCAGAAACACCAGAAGTGAGGCTACAGAGGACAGCTGTAGATGAACCAGACCTTAAGGAACAGGTTTTGTATTCTGAGAGAGATTTCAGTCTGGAGAATGTAAAATGATCCATCGTGGAGTGGGGGAGGGAAGACACGCGGGAGCAGATTGACAGGAGAGCCTGAGGCAGTTATGTTGTACGCGTGCTTACTATGCAGCTGAAACCAGCGCAGTTAACTCAGTCCAGCAGAAGTAAACTAACCACACCCCTACTGAAGATTCTGCTGTGGCTCCCTATCTCCCAAAGAATCAGAGCTAAACTTAGCCAGCCCTTCAAGCTGTCTGCCTGTTTTCACCTAATCACATTCTGTGGAGGGATGGAGATGAACGGATGGGCAGGTAAAGTGACAAAGGGGAGCAGTGACACATAGTAGCCTTGAGGAAGGTGCTTATAACAGAACCAGTCTGCACTGAAGAGGTCTTTACGAGCATCAGTAAACACTGACTGAGCAAATGCCTTAACAGGTCAGCTGACCAATGTCCCTTTCCTCCCTTGGCCAACAGGACCCCAGCGAGATGCCCAGGCAGCTCGAGAATTCATCCTGAAGATGTTCGTGGACCTGAATCCAGACAGTGACAAAATCATCTACTCCCATTTCACATGCGCCACAGACACCGAGAACATCCGCTTTGTCTTTGCCGCCGTCAAAGACACCATCCTCCAATTGAACCTGAAGGAGTACAATCTGGTCTAATTGTACCTCCTTGACACTGCCCTGCCCTTCCCTTCCCTGGCGGGCTATTGAAGCTATACAAGAGGGACTGTATTTCTGTGGGAAACAATTTGCATAGTACTAATTTATTGCCGTCCTGGACTCTGTGTGAGCGTGTCCACAGAGTTCGTAGTAAATATTATGATTTTATTTAAACTATTCAGAGGAAAAACAGGATGCTGAAGTACAGTCCCAGCACATTTCCTCTCTTTTTTTTAGGCAAAACCTCGTGACTCAATGTATTTTAAATTCTCAGTCATACACTCACAAAGAGCTGTTTCTTCCTCTCTCTCTCTCTCTCTCTCCCCTCTTCTTTTCTATTGAGCAAAATGAAGCCGATTTTCCTTTTCCTAACCCATCCCTTCCTCCTGATTTTTCCCACATTACAATGGCCTTTATCCTAGTTCCATTCTTGGTCAAGTTTTTCTCTCAAGTGATACAGTCAGGACAATTGTCATTCAATTTAAGCCATCAACATCAGCTTAATTTAACAGTTTGTAGTTTTTGCTGAAGGATTATAAGTATTAATACTGTGGTTTTAAATGTATTGCTCTGGATACACATGTAGAGGTTTTTTTACATAAATACATCGTTTTGCCTCACTTTGGACTGGGACAGTGGATGCCCATCTAACGGTTAAGTGTCTTCTTTTTTCTTTTTTGGGGATTTCTACCTTCAGCCATAGCTCGGTTGCTCAGTGAACTGTACGGAAGTCAGTAAGGCCAGGGCCAAGACACACAGAAGTTCATCCTTTTGAAATGCCATGTGCCATTGTCCTTCCTCCTTTCCTTCCCTTTTTTTTCACCCTGCTTTCTTCAAACTGCAGATGCCAAAAAAAATATGCCAAGAGACACTACATTATTCCAATGGCTGCTACCCAGATCCTTTTCATAGGTTGCTCTTCATTTTTTTTTCCTTCAGTTCAAACTTTTCCTCCCTTTTTTTTTTTTTCTTAGTGTTTGGGCCACAATTTTTTAAATGACTTTTATTAATGGGTATGTGTTGCCAAAGCTGGCTTTTAAAAAAAAATTTTTAGTAAGAACTTAAAAGCCAGTATCTTAAAATGTAAGAGAGTAAGACTGTGAAGCCTAAAATGTTTGGCTGCGAATGAACCTGAAACACCAGTTGCCAAACAGTTGGTCACTGTCAGCTTGACTCTTATAGTCCATCCTTTTCTTTGCCCTTAAAAATCATTGTTTTGTGTCCACATTCCATGTTGAGCATCTAAATCGACAATGTGGAAAAGCTGTCCTGTGTGATACCCCATGAAATCTGCTTTTATCTCTTCATTTGAAGCCAGTTTTACTCTCTTTGTGTTCTTTAAGGTCAAGTAGGTCTGCCAAGAACATTGGTTGATAGTATTATTCTGACACCTTTAATTTGCAGAATCTGAAGTTACTGCTCGTTTACCATCTTTGGGATCTTAAACTGGTGACTGGCTGAGTTGAACTTAAGGAAGATTTGTGGACTGAAACTCAGAAGTAACCTCTCTGTTCTAGAGAACATGTATTTATATAACTGAACATAGTAGGAGAGAGATCTGGAATTCTGTATGTGCAATTTTTCAACCAATGCAAAAAACACAGCACATGTATTGATGAGCTTCTGTCAAGCAGTTTGAGTTGAAATACGATTTAAGAAAATAAGTCATGACTGTTTTAAACCTGCTGGGAAGTTAGAATTAGGCCATGATGCTGGTCTCAGTTTAACTACAATACTATTTGGCACGAGTCTAAACTTTCATATACATCACTCTTTTGGAACAGTAAAGGAGAGGGAGAAAATCAATGGCTTATCAGATGAGTACCAGAGTTACTAAGTAGTAATGGGATGTTCCCATTCTTTACTCTCCCAGCCTCAAACTACACAGGTTACTTGTTGTTTTTTTTTCCTCCTTGTTCAGAAAGCACCTGTAATTTAATTAAGAAACAGACTGCCTGTAGGTATAGTGCAATTACGAATGCTCTAATCATTGTACATACATCTCTCCCTTGATATTGCATCATCCATACTGGCTTTGTAATCATTAATTTTTTGGCAGATTGAATGTGCTGTATTGATATGTATCTATGTAATTGTATTGTGTGTCTTATAGCTAATTCACATTTTGAATAATGTTATTTTATTTACTTTTTTAAGAGAGGAGAATGTAAATTTGTCAGTTTATTTCTGACTAGGGATATTTTTTTTTCCCATTTAGAAAAGAAAAAAAAAACCTTACTATCGTATGGAGCGGTACTAGCATCGTGCTATATAAAATCATTTGCACATTCCTGAGTAGAGGTATACTGATTATAAGACCCAAAGGTCTTAAGACCCAAAGGTAATTTCATAGCAAAAATCAGTTGGAGCTTTTATACAAACATGGAAACCAACTTTGTAGAACTTTTGCCATTTGACCTAGGATTGGAATATGAGCTTTTATACAATTCATATTCTTATTTGGCAGATATGCACAGTTTAGTATTACCTCTCTGATGGCCTTTATTAGAAAGGCAGTTTTAGAAGCTATTGTGATCCACTAAGGAAATGTTTTAACAGCTAGCGACCACTGCTTGCCTGAAAGGGCGATCTTAAATTTGGTGCAGCAAAAGAAAAAAAAATATAAACAACAACATTTGAAGGCCTACAGTGTGTATAGAGAAAACCTCATCACAAGGTCATAAGTGTTACAGTTTTAGGGAATCAAGATATTCTATTTAATAGAGCTATAGTAGATGTAGTCAATTAAACCTGATCTCAAAGCTCAAAGAAGCTGAGCAAAACAGGGAAAGATTGTTATATTTGTCTCTATGAAATCAGGATGGAATTGCTATGCAGAATTGAGATTTGTGGTCTCACTGTTCATCTTAGGGTGCATGACAAGATCCCTTCTCTTGAGAAAGGAAAAAATTGATCACCCTAGTTACAGTGACGCATAGAAACCGAATTGTATCCACACTAGTCAGTCGAAGCTAAAGGATTTTCTTTTTTGTTTCTTTGGGGTTTTACTGAAGGGTCTGGGGTGGGAAGGGATTCTTTTCAGTTTTGTATAAAAACGAAGTTTACTCATGCTTTCTATTATTATTGTGATTGCAAGCATTCTAAGCGTGTGCCGCTGGACCCCTTTTGTGATGCTCTCGGTAACAGTAACGGAGGTCTGTGGCGAGTTTTGTGGTGACTTGGGCATGTCTTATTGAAAAACAAAAACACAAAACACAGAAACCTTTCTTCAGCAGACCAAGGCAAGCAGCCGTTTCATGACTCACTTAACACATTGCAGTGTACCAGTTTACAGATGATTTTTCCCTTTTTGCGTGACATGACAGTTCCAACCCACAGAGAATCCCTTATTTGTAAATTGGAGGTTTGTACTATGCCTTACAGAGCTTAAATTCAGAAGTTTGTGCCTCATATCTGAAACAAAGGGAAATAACGAAAGCAAATAAATCCCCTCAAAGTGTTTGTTTTTAAATACATTTTCATATAAAGAGCTCTGTTGAATGTCATGAATAGATTGGGGGGAAAAATCTTCTAGAAACCTGCATATGTTGTTTACTAGCAGATGACATCTACAAAAGGTATTTAAGGAACACCCGAAACTTGTATTTTTTTGTAGATTAACTAGCAGGTCTAATATTTAAAAAAGGTAATTCAGCTAAAGGACAATTTACTTTTTGTACTTCAGACTATCTTGATTGTCAAGGTGTACGAACTGTAATTTTAAAATTTATACTGCCACATGATTGTAAATTTTAGTTGTCTTAAGTTAGGAATCAGTGAAAAGCTATTTATGCTGGATATGGGTCAAAAATGACGATTATTTGCAAAAAATATATAAAAATAATGGGAAGAAAGGGCTGCATAATGAGTTACTGGTTGGAAATAATCAAGTTACCCTCAATTTCCCTTTGTTTTCAGTTTCTCAAAAAGAATGAATGAAATGAAATATAGCAGAATGTTAACCCATATAAAAATAAAGTGTACCCAAATATTGTAATGATATTGCTGCTCTTCTTAAAATTAAATAAGGGTTTAAAACCACTTAATTGGTAATTGACAACATCTCAGTTGACACAGATAAGGTGTGCTTGGTATACTGTTTTCTTCCAAAGGTTATCTTTGGTTAGAAACACACACAAAAATTAAAACTAGTAAGTAACATTGTGTTTATCTATCTCTGCATATTTCCAGCATATGTAGCGTTAATAGAGCTGTCCTGGTAACTATGTCTTTGGAATTTCATTTTGATTCCATAAAATTAGGAAAAGAAATGGCTTAGTTGTATATGACTAGCTAGAGATTTTTGGAGCCAAACACCTGCTGTTTCGTAGATACTTAGTACACAGTCTGAACTTGCCACTTGTTTTTCTCACAGAATAACCATTTCCTGCTGTCTTCCCAACTACCAGTGCCCTTCAGTAACCCTGTTGCTTCTAGAATCATCTGTTCAAAGTATGCATATACACCCAGCACATAGTAGGTGCTCAAATATTAATTTCCTTCTTACCTCCCTTATCATGTATCCTCCATTTCCCCATATGATTCCACCCCAATAGTAAGTGGCATTTACATGTTATGAAAACATCTGTTGGGTAAAATTGGATCTCACTTGGATAAAGGAATTCTGACTTCCATATAAGCTTTGGTAGACAGAAAAACAACAGGGAGAAGATATTCTTCAATAGAATATTTTTAAGTTCAGAAAAGGAAGATGGAAAATTACTATGTAACTTTGTTCAGGTTACTTCGACTGAAACACATGTTTTTGGTGGATTTCTTTTCCTCAAAGAACTCTCTGAATGCAACTTGCTGGATTCCTCACCTGTCATCATGCTGGAAACCCTTACTAGACCTATGTATTTAGGGAGTTTTGTCAGAAAAACATTTTTAACTTGCAGTATTTAAAAGAATCATATTTACTGTTCTTAAAATGTCATTCAAATGCATGTATTGTCTATTGTTTGGGGATGGGAACTAGTTTTGCAAAAAAAAACACCTAATGTTGTATAATAATGCCCCGATGATCTTGCTGGTTAAAAATACAGTATTTTTGGCCATAAGTTTGTACCACAGTTTTCTTCATTCTTGAGTTTTCCTTCTCTCAAAGTTGCTTAAGCCTCTCCAAGAATGTTTTTTATTATAAGGAGTATTGGGATAAATCTTTCCTTCCTTTAAGCACTTTATACTGCACATCCATTTCCCAAAGTAGGTTCAATAGTTTTTAAACAAACCACCACCAAAAAAAAAAAAAAAACCCTTTTCCTTTCTGAATATAATCAGAAATTTCCGACTTCTTTAGTGGAAGTTTTCATATTGATAGTATTTATCAAATTTGTTTTTAAAAAAATACTTGCTCTAATTTAGTTTGCAAGCAACTGTCAAAACAAGTTTAAATAGCTGCTCAATAAAGACTTACAACAAGCCCAAGTCTTCACCCTGAGGCCATCTCTTCAGAGAAAGAACATGGGGGCTCACAGGCAGAGGGTTTCATTAGAGTTTCTTGTCTCAGCCCTGGGAATGAAAGGTCCACTCCACGTGGGAAAAAGGACCTGGTGTAGGTGTCCTTTAAGTCTGTGATTTTTAGAAACATACATCGAGGCTTTTGAGATCAGCTAAAAACTAGCTTTCCTTTTTCTAGCAATTTTGTGAAGTTGGGGTGATGGCAAGCAAGTGCTTCTCCAGAAAATCGGCGCTTACGTATAGGGACCTGAAACCGTAACAGAAGCAAGACCTGTTCCTGCTACTTGTGATCAGGTCTTTTACTTGGTAGCCCAGCCCTTGCTTAGGGAATTTTGTGTCTTGCAGAATACTGTTCCGTCCATTGACTTTAGAGAAGAAAGTGTCATTTTTACTTAAAAGCCTTAGTTTTAAGGCTCTCCTATCCTTGCACGTTTTAGAGACCCTTTCCAGTAGGTGGTATCCCTTCTCTCTGGATCCTCCTGTGAAGGGAATGCTGTGCCTGGGGACTGTCATTAGTACGGGCCTGGAGTGACAGTTCCCACAGCCTCTCTGCTGAGGAACCGGGGTGTTAAGCAGCCCCCTAGCGCTCCTCACTCTGTGGCCTTCT